GCGTGCGTGCAGAATGCCACAATACGCCGTCTGTACACCGGCTGTGTTCCCAGTGCTTGATAAAAAGCTATTTGTATGCGGGATACTTCCCCTCACTGCCATTAAAGGTATCGGATTACCTCGCGAGCACAAATCCCATCATCGTCTTCATCTCCATTAACTAGGTAATTTTGATACACACACACACACACACACACACACACACAAAAAACACAGACTCATTTCGGTGTTAATATGTTGACATTTCAACCAGCGAATGTCGGTATGGAGTTATTTAGACTTAGGAGCGCTGTGTTTGGGACGACGTCAGGAGGACGTATTATTCCACAAAGACACACACTTGACATTATTCAAATACTCTGTTATATTTAGTGATTCAATGTCAAAACTTGCACAGCCCAGAGGAAGGAGTAACTGCCTCATGATTTATTTAAGGAGCCCCTCTGTCAGGCTGGCTATCCATTGTAGCTTCTCAAATAAAAAAGGATTTGATTAGATTACATCCTTTAATATCCTCACGGAGGTCCTTATGATTTCCTCCCAATTCCCCACACAATGCTGCTGAGCAATAAAGACAAACGGTGGAACGCCGCCTCGTCTCGCTGAGGAAAAATGACGTACATTATTTGTACCCCCTCTGAAAACTACTGACTTCCGCTTTTGCCGTTGAGCTTTGTGATGCCGTCTTCTAATTTACGCCAATTACTGTAGCTCTTTTGTCCTCACACAGTATTGTCCTCGCATATCAGTGTCCTTAGGTGTATGTTTGAGAGACAATCGCGCTTTCTGCCAGGAGACAATATAATGTTTAAATTATTGCGAAGACAGCCACGATACTGCAGGTCTGGCATGTTTAATGAATTACTTATATGGCAGGCTTAATCTTGAACTAATGAATACTGCTTGATTAAGTATCTATATCATATTCATATATTCATATTTCAAGGATTTTGTGCATACTTGCGTCGTTTTTAGTCTCTTCATTCTAGCTTTCTTTATTTTACTTTTCCATCAACATCTGCTCTCCCTTCAGACTGCCTGTAGATAATGGAGGTTCATTTATATATTAAAATCTCATCTCCAGTTAAATCAGCAGCCACCACAGAGCCCACAGATGACTCTCTTGAACCTGATGCGCCACAGTCATTCCGAGCGCGCGTCTGCATTTTTTTTTTCCCCGCAGTGTTGACTAGATGCCGTTGGTATTCTCCACGCTCTTCCTCTCCCCTCCTCTAATCAGCGCTAGAAGAGAAACAACAGACAGTGCTCTGATTGCCTCGGGGCCAACGCCAGCACAGCGGTCTGATGATAAGGCCGGCGACCAGCGAAGGCCTCGCTCTGTCCTCTGAGTGCAGGCCAAAGGAGTCCAGCGTGAAGATAATAACAGCAGTGAATTCATTTGCCTCATAGTCTTAAACCCCCCCCCCCCCCCCCCACAAAAAAAAGAATAAGATTGAGGATGTAGCACCTTTTTAAAAACGCACCTTTCTCTCATTTTAACCATCTCTATCATTCCCCACCTGTTTAGTTTTTTTTACAGCAGAATAATGGTTCCACCTCTTAAAATGTTTGTGTAAGATAGTATACCGCCACATTGTGTTTACTGGCAGCAGCCTCTCCGGTCTCGCTCTCTCTTTCTCCCTCTCTCTGTCTTATTCTCTCTCTCTTTTCTCTCTCTGTTGTTCTTTCTCTCTCTCTCTCTCTCTCCCTCTCTCTTTTCACTTCTCTCTGCCAGCCACCACACAGTCGTCATTTCCAGCACTCCCATCCACTCTGGACGGCAATAATCAAGCCAAGCTTTACGCCCATATGGCAGGCCGTCGGCCTCTTAAACCGCATCGCGACATCACTCAGCGGTCATTTAATGAGAGCTTGACAGGGCCCCCAGCTCACTCTTATCCTGAAAAATATTCAACCTGGCTTTATCACTCCCCTGCTTTTATGACGCCATCTGCGCCGCATGTAGAGGAGCATAATTACTGTCGTCCTCCACTCACTGCAGTCGGCCAGTCCGAGTGACTCCGTCTCGAAAACATACGGGCCTCAACTGCACTGTTTCTAATGAAAGTGAATAGAAGGTTAATGTAATATTAAAAGGTGCTGCCTTTCAAAATATAGCGTCAGAAAAAGTTGTGTGCCTGTTTACGGCTAAATACCCGTAAATTAGATTGAATACTTAGTAATTCTCTCTCTAGTTATGCAGGTACAACACTTTTTACTACTTTACTTTTACTACTTGTGTAATTGATAAGCCGGTATAAACTGCTTCTTTACATTTGATGAAACTAAATCTTATGTTATAAGGCAAATGAAATAAGACATGATCTCTAAATTGTGTTGTTTCCCCAAAAGATGACTGTGAAGAGGAAAGGCATTAGTGATGTGGGTTTGCTGACTATGCTCATTTATGCTTTTTTAGTATTTTCGTCAGCGTGTTTTAAAGTTTTGTTTTGCCATTTGTCAAATATTTTTCAGTTACCTCATCATTAAAGGTTCAGATTAAATAATTCTGATTTCAACCTTCTAGTCCCGATGGAAATTGTCAAAGACACCCGTTCCTTGGCATTCCTTTGGCCACATCATTACCGGGACCACCACCATGCCTGCCCCCCCCCCCCCCCCCCCCCCTTCCCCCCCCCCTCCCCGAAAAATATTTGACAAATGGCAAA